ACGGTGTTATTGCCATCTGAGTGCTGGCTTTGCAACCCCACAAGAGACAAGGAGGCTGCACAGACACGACCAAGGACAGTATTTCATCTGGAAAAGCCCAGCTTGACTTTTAGACCCTAGCATGGGCTGGCAGAAAGTCTTTTATTCCTCATCAGGAGCCAAAAAGCAAACCTCCTAAGGCTCTGGGAAGACACTGTGGGAATACTGGACTTGCTCTCCCTGGCAGAAGGGGAACACACCTGAAGAGCCCCACATTCAGTTGCTGATGTTGGTCACCACACCAAGGTACGTCAAAACCCAGTGTCTCAGCCCGAAGCCAAGAGATGCACATGGCTCTGACCTTTCTGTACCTATCACCTAATGACCCTTTAGTATCCAGGATGAAATGCCAAGGACCAGCTCCTCCAGGAAAAGGGGCGATGAAGACCAGTTGGTCCCAGAAGACAAGAGCATCCCTGCAGCCTCGGCAGCTGGAGGGCAGCGGGAGAGGCACAACGATCATAACTTTGCAACAGCAGCTCTTTAACAGCTTCCCTCACTAACAAGCTGCTCTTGTTTTCATGTCTTGGAATGGCTTAATCCTATATATGATAACATCCCCAACAAGCGAGTGCATTAAACTGTGACAGCTTTTCACTGACCTAAGCAATTGCACTGCGAAAACGCCATTAGCGTCTCTCTCTTCTTCTTCATCTAATCCCCCCTCCCCTCCCTCCGCCTCCTCCCTGGCCAGTAAGAGCTATGCTCAACACCACTATTAAATTACCCTTAGAAATACGCTCCTCAAAGAAAATCAATGCACATGTGTTTTAACACTTGTCACAAATAGATCAACCGGGCAATCAAACGTAGATCATTCCACCCAAGGTTTAAATAAATACGGGCGCCACGTGTTTGATGGTGTGTTCCCACGGCCCGAGCACCTCTGGGCTGCTGCCCAGCCCAATGCTGGGCTCTGCTCCACCTACAGCTGCTCTAAAACAGATGCTGGGTGCACAGTGCCCCCGTGGATCGAGCCCCACCGCACCACAGCTCATCACACCTGCAATCCTAACACACCCCCAGTGAAGTTTGGGAGGGTGGAACTGGCACAGGCAGCGCTCCCCATGGCAGCATCAGGCTGTGCACAGGCTCGCTCGGCTTGTTTTTCAAACCCTTTCTGCTCATTCCCTTCCTGACACCATTATTTACTGCTCCAGGTGCCACTGGGACGATTCTCCCCACGTCTCTCTGTAAAGAGCCGTGGCTGATGGTTTGTATGGGGAACATGCACACAGGTCTAAAGGGCCTGATAAATAGATCGTGAGCCTTGAAATCTATTCCTACTGTGAAGACATTTGCAGAGACTATTTTTACTTCAACATCATTTTCTCTCTTTTTTTTTTTTTTTTTTAAACCCATCTTTCCTCTTTTTTCCTTGGTCAAATCGGGACAGAGAGGGATTTCTTGCCGACTAATTAAAGCCCCACATGTTAATGAACTCCCAACACTTTACTGCCTCAGAGTGTCTGCAGCCCCACAGGAAATTAATAAGAGCTTTAATCACGAAGAGACTTGAAAGGTCAGTGCCTGCTATGGGTCTCCAAAAACAGAAGGCAACGGAATCATATCATATTTTTAAAACACCCCGCTGAGAAGTCACGAGGCAGAGGCCAGAGACAAAATAACAGGCAGAAAATGAGAGGTACAGCTGCCATCACAGGATGAGGGAAAAGCGGGACAGGAGAGGCTGTAATCACACTCTCTGCCTTTGTCTTCTATTTAATCTGCCTTACCTTTGTTATTTCTTTTTCTCCCAGAGCAAGGCCAAATTACACGTGATCGATCTGCTTGAGAGTAACCCTTTACCAACCAACCTGATGGCCTGACCTTCCTCTCCACCCTCTTGCTAAATGAGCTCTCCCCAGTTTTCCCTTCCTGGTTATTTGTGTGAATCTTCCTAAAGCTCCTTTCAAGATATTAGGAGGTACATAGAAAAATTGATATTGTAAGTAGACACTCCAGATGGACCAATTACTGAATTAATCCATAATACCCACCTGGCTCCAGCAGCCAGTTATTTACAGCAGGCACCAAAGCACACATATAATCTATTCACTCCTCAGAGCAGTATCAAAGCACAGCCTTACGAGCACCAGCTCCACAAGCTATTTTTAGTCCAGCCCCAGCAAAATTCCAGTGCTTGAAGGACTCCAGCTCGAGGAACATCTCCAAGTAGAGGCACAAACTCCGAAGGATTGCTTGGAGTGTTTCTGGGGCCAGACACCATAAGCAAATGGACCGGAGTGATGTTTCCCCATGCCTATTCCTGGGACAAACCTCAGCCCATCATGGGTTTTAACATCCACTCCAGCAGCAGCACCCCTAGATCCAAGCAGTGACCGCCTCTTTGTCACTGCTGTGACTCCAGACCTGCTTTGGACACCACAAGCTGCCCACAGCACAGAAGACACCAGACCAATATTCAATGCACAAGTCAGGAAAGCCTCAACTGGCTCAACCTGGGGACTTTCCAAGCCTCTCTGGGAGGCTCCAGCAGCTCTTCCCTCTCCTCTTGCTCTCCCCGATTTCTCTGACCTCTGAACCCGCAGTGATGTGATTTCCTACCTGATTGACTGTAAAAGCTTCAGCTACTCTAATCACAGATCAATGGCCTGTTCCATGGAGAGAAAATCATCCTTGGTGGTGTTTATCATCCCTGCAAATTTCTGCTGTCCGCCTCTCACTCCTCTCCCTCTTTAACCCCTTGCTGGCCACAGTGTCCAGTTTTCTCGCACTGGGTGCTCCTTAGGACAGTCCAAAGAGGGAAACAATTCCCTCAGGAAGTACAAGCAACTGCTCCCAGTACCCTCAGCAGCACATTCTCTCCATAAACCTCTGGTCCTGCCTTGAACAGAAGCTTTTTATCCCTTGTATCCCCCAGACTCCACAATATGGTTATAACGCCAATAATAAGAAGGAATGAGGCCAGAAATGAGTTCAAGCAGACACCAAACTTCCCTGCAAGCTGGAAGAAGGTGCCACAGCAGCAGGAAATCTGGCCATCCAAAGCGAACATCCAGACCTAAGAACTGAGTCTGGCTCAGCCATGACCCAAAGAGAGCTCCTCCTGCAAAGGCTCATATCAGAAAGTGAGGGATCAGACCTAACACATCGCTGTTCCAGCCCATCTCCAGAGTGCATTCAAACAGTTTTACGCTCCAGAGGCCTTTCCATTTTTAGGTTTACAAGCTAAATCCCAAGCAGGAAGGAGCCCCCAGCACTACTGCCGGGGCTCAAACAAAGACTCGGCGATGCATAGCCCAGGAGAAAACCCAGCAATCCAACGGCATCAGAGACACTTCAGACACCCTCCCGCTTGCAGGCTCACAGCAAGTGCTTCTTCCCTCGAGTTCAAAGCCTCTCCCCTTCGGGCAGGTTATAATTGAGCACTGTGACGTTCCCCACCCGGCCGCTCCCGGACGAGACCCATCAGCGTTCCCGTTTCTCTCTCCGGCAATTCCTCGATCTCATTTTGACTTGCGGTTCCTCATCCTCTCTGGGGATTCGGCCCCATCTACAGAGATAATTGGAAACACACCCTCTGCGTCCTCCTCCTGTCAGGAGCCAGCTGTCTGAGGCTTTAAAGGCAATCTCCCTGTTTTCCTCCCCCCCTGCTCCCCACAAAAGCTTCTGCTGAGATCTTGGGGAGCGGGAGGAAACAGCCCCGCTCCCTCCCCAAATATCTCATCCTCTGTAGGCCAGACACAGCCTCTCCCTTAATTTCCAGCAGATTTCATCTGACAGCACTTTAGGAAGCAATAGGAGAAATCACCATCAGAGCAATAATACAATTATAGTCCCTCAACAGCCGTAGCTGAGGCTGCAATAACTGTATGAGGCTTTGGCCTCACCTCAACTCATCTTTGTCAGAACATCCTCATCCCAACACTGTCTGCTCCCCCCAATCCCGAATCCAGCTATTTTTTTATTATATTTGATTGCATGCTAGCTGCACCAGAGAGGGAAAAAGCATACAAACCCACGGAAGATGCAGACAACAAACTTTCCCAGTGAGAGCTGGTCCTCCCACCACATCCCTCCCTCCCTGCCACAGGGAATGTCTTCCCTTTCCCACCACCAGCACCAACATTGGCCTCCCGAACAACTGGGAGATATATATATATATACACACATACACACACAGATACATATATATATATATAAAAAGAAGAACAACCCACTTAATGAGCTCTGATACCCTCCTTGTAAAGAGTGGGAAATTATCTGCGAGTCTAGGAATATCTTCATTAAAAATGCATTTAGCTGTGGAGCGCTCAGAAAGAGAGACCTGTAATACATGAAAGATTAGCCCCAGATTGCTGATTGGGCTCTTTCACATCGTTATGGTAATTAGACTCGCACAGCCTGTTGTGCTGACTCTGACACTTTGCCGGGTTTGCCTTTGTCTGGGATTTAAGGTGGATTTTCCCCCGTTCCTCACCCTTCCTCCCTCCTCTCTGATTCCTCGTCTCGGCCCCTGGCCAAGGAGCGGGCACTACCTCTGCTCATCAATATGCCAAGTGCTGGGATCCGACTCGCCTGCACTCCCGACTGCCTCTGCCAACCCCGGCCCTGCCTCGCATGGGGAAGAGAGAAATTAATGGTAATTACGAGGTGTGAGTGGATATTACAGCTCTCAATCTGATTGCCACTGAAACCAAATAAAAATGCAACTTAATCAGCCAATTATTAAAGCAAGGAATAAACAAACAGCGATGTGCCCTCATCCTTCCCACCTCCTTTCCCTGCCTGTGGACCAGGGGTGCCTTGCTCCAGTCTGGCTGGGGTTTTATTTGCCCCATCTATATCACTTGACAGGGAAATCCAGCTCAGCCCACCCAGCCTGCAGAGCTGGAGAGCAAAGCTGTGCTTCAGACGAGGAGTGAGAGCAAGGAAACGCTCAGAAGGTTTCTGAGGAGGAGCACATCTAATGATCGCGGTTTTCAACAAGTCTCCTGGCTCACCCCTTGTTGTGAAGTACTGCTCATCTTTCCTGAGCTGCTGAACCCCCTTTGAGGAGCACACAGCTGCAGACCTCCCCTGAAACCACAGTGGCAAAGCATGAAGCTGCTGGAGAGCAACTTGTTTAACCTCAACAAGGAGGAAGGGCCATTCCGTGGCACGTAACCTGTGAGGAAGCAAAGTCAGGAATGAGCCATATCGCTGCTCAGGCATCACTGCAGCTTGTTCCCCTGAGCTACAGCAAACAGCAAAATAACCTCTCCCTGTGGGCTTAGCTTGGGATCCACATGCTGCAAAGTCCTTCAACACTCCCCAACTCCTGAGACACAACCTATAAAAACCCAAAGCAAAAGGAAGTCAGCAGCCCCTGGGCTGCAGAGGTTTCCCAACACCCTACACTTTGCCACCAGCTGCTGAAGCACCTCTTGAGCAGAGAGGGATTTTAGATGCAGTGGCCAAATCCAGCCAGCCCAGAAAGCAAGAAGCACAACCAACTAAAAGCCCACCTCACCTCATTACACAAACAACAGGGCTCTGCTTTGTCCCTCCCAGAAGAAGTCTGGGTTTCTCCGCTGCTGCCACCCCACATGGTAACACTGCTCTGATGGCCCCGAGCTGGTGCCAGCCTGTATGATCACTCACTAATCCCAGCCACGAAGGCCTCTAACCCCTCTGCTCACCCTCTTATCTCTCACTCCCCTTAGGTTTCAGTCAGCCTTTGCCTAATCCGGCCCCGAGCCCAGGGGATCTCGGAGGAGCCACTGGCCTTGCATTAACCTTATGGCACCAGGGCAGGTTTGGAGACTTTCCAAATGTGATCTGAGTGTCTGACTCAGAATAATAATAGACAGGAGCGATCATAAATTAATCCCCTCATCCATCTCTCCCTTCCTCATACATGTATTAATGTGTTTCTATAGCCCCACCACATCCTCCCTCCGCTCTATTCATCCCTCTATCCCTGGCATGTCCTTTAATTACCTACCCATTAGGCTTCCTCTTCCCTGCCTCCACATTTTATCCCCTCTCTGACTGCAGTGGGGAATATGTTTTAACCCTGCAACAGACCTTGGGGGAAGATTTTAGGCAGGTATCCAGGCACAGGGGACTGCTGCCCAGGGAGGTCTCACAAAATTCCTTCTTGGAGGCACAGAAAAGCTTCTGATTAAGTGATGGAGCTGCTGTCACAGCTGTAAGCTGGACACCTACCCTAAGGGAAACTGTAGGGTTGCCCATCTGCTCCAAACCACCACTGGGAATAGGAGAAAGCCAAACCACAGCTCCCTTAAGGGCTGAAGCTTTGGAAACCCACCCTATCCCCTTCTCATCCAATCCCTCTGCCAAATTCTCATCTTCTCCAGGCCCTTGCAAAAAAGATGAGCAAGAAGGACATAACTAAGGTTGCTGCCTTTGTTATGTGGAAGGCGCTTGCAGAGAGGGGCTGGGGCAATACCAGGGGGGTTTAGATTGGATATTAGGAAAGATTTCTTCACCAAAAGAGTTGCCAAGCCCTGGCACAGGCTGCCCAGGTAGAGTCACTGTCCCTGGAGGGATTTCAAAGCCATGTGGGTGTGGCACTTTGGGACATGGTTTAGTTGTAGCCTTGGCAGTGCTGGGGTAACAGTTGGACTCAGTGATCTCAGAGCTCTTTTCCAACCTAAAACATTCTATAATTCCATCCCTGCATGGTTTCAGGAAACTGTGGTGGGTGCTGACACAGCCTTTGCCTTCGGAGCAAGCAGATGAAACTTTTCCCAGCTCCCAGCCCCCGGCGCCAGTGTTCGTGTCCAAAAAGCACAGCAGAGGCTCTCTGTGAACAACACCAGAGCCACAAATAAACCCAAGCACCAGCGGGATGACAGCTGTAATGAACCAGTGCATACGTCCCACTCGGAGGTTTCGGAGAGGCTGTTCAGCTGCTGATGACTGATGACATTTGGATTTCGGCGAGACAGTTAGCACAGGAAATCAGCACAGCAGCCAATCTGAAGACACCCTCTCTGCTTCCCCCAGTAATTGCTTAATAAGCACTGCATCACAGCCCCCTCCTTCGCTGTGCCCGTGTCTGGGGTGAGGGACAACATCACACTGAGAAGCCACCACTTAGTCCCAGACTCCACCACGGAGCAGCACCAGCTGGACCCATCCCTTCCCCACCACTCATTTGCTCCTAAAGTCATGAGACACACCAATCTCTCTTCCTATCCTCTACCAGCACTTTCCAATGCTTGCAGCAGAGACTGCTATTCCCAAATATCTAACCTTGATCTTCCCTCCTGCAAATTAATCTGATTCCTTCCTGTTCTGTCTAGCAGTGGACACGGAGAGCAATCGATCGGTCTCTTTTCTGTAACAACTTCTGACATCCTGGAAAAAACGAGATCACATCTCCCTCTCTTGCCTTTGGGTCCCACAGGCAGCACGTGGGAGGTTTTCCTGGAGCTCTGCCTGGCTCCACACAAACACCCAACCCTGCTCCACAGGGAGAGGGGCTGCTCTGCAGGTCTGCTCCTTCCTTCTCCAGCTGCTCTGAGAGTTGTATCAGGGGGCTGAAGCCCCTGAGTGCCAAGAATATGGGGGGGGGGGGGAGAAATGAGAACTAATGGCTTTAAACTGAAAGAGGGCAGGGTTAGATCAGTTATCAGGAAGAAATTCTTCCCTGAGGGTGGTGAGGCCCTGGCACAGTTTGCCCAGAGAAGCTGTGGCTGCGCCATCACTGGAAGCATTCAACACCAGGCTGGACAGGGCTTGGAGCAAGCTCTGATCTAGTGGAAGCTGGGATGAGAACTGGAGTATCTTTAAGGTCCCTTCCAACCCAAATCATTCCATGATTCCATAATATCCAACAGACCAGACAGCTGTTTCTAGCTCAGGCAACAGAAAGACTCCAAAAAGCAGCATCAAGCCCTGCTCCCTGCACACACACACACACAGAGCTGCATTTCCTTCCACCCCTGCATTCCTTCCACCAAATGCCCCACGAGTGGGTGCCCAAGTCTCCCCCTCCCAGGAGGGTTTGTGCCAGAGCTGGCTTCCTGGTTGTGTGCTACCCCAGGATCTGTGTGACCGTGCTGAGCGCCGCCACAGCATTTGGGACACCAAAACAACAGCCAGTGGCTCCATCAGGAGCGCTGCTATTTATACCCGAGGGGCTGATGAGCACCAGCAGCCAGGGAGACACAAAGGCGAGCGGCAGGAGCTTGATTACTGACAGGTATTTTTAGAGCGGGGGGCACGTGAGAAGCCTCCATTCCCGAGGTTTTCATCCCCCCCTTCGATCCCAAACGGCAGCACTGCTGCTGCTCCGTGCCTCATGCCAGCAGCCAGGATCAGACCCCTGCCTGCCAACTCACTTGTGCTCCCCGACAGCAAATGGGTAAATCGCTGCAATTACACTCCAAAAGTCACATCCCCGTCCTTCCCTCCTCCCTCTCCTCTGCACACATGCCCAGATCCTGCAAAACAAAGTAATGGGTGGCAATTGAAATGCTTACACAGTTAATGGAGCCCACGTAAAGGCCCGGTGGGTGCTGCTCCTTTGGCTGGCAGCAGGAGCTGGGTGCGTGCGTGGGAGCCCAGCAAGGAACCATCTCCAGTCAAAGGGGAGGCAGCAGCTCTTGTACCTCCCAGGTGACAGGTCTCCACCGGGGCTGACTCAGAGGCAGGCAGGAGCTGGTGTTTGCAGCACATTAACACAGCTGTGTCAGCTTCCAGGTGAATCAGCTCTGCTTCATCAGACACATCAACAGACTCAGCACTGCCATCTCCTCTCCTGCTCAGATTTATTTTAATTGCAAGACGCAAATAGTATTCTCTCTCTCCTTTTCCTACCCACATCCATCTGGAAATATCTCTCAGGTCTCCTACTCTTGTGTTCATGACTTTTTTAGCACTTCCCTTTCCCCTTTCCTTTCTCCCACCTTGTCCTGATCCAGATCCAGGCAGAAGAATCAGCAAGTCAGAAACAATAAGAGTCTGGGTCACTGCAGCCACTTTTTCAAGGACCAGAGCACCTAAAAGCTGAGCTCTTTCTGACCAAGTCCTCGAAAATTGCTTCTCCAAAGACGCCAGCATCCCATCATCATCCTGCCCATTGTCTCTGCAGGACCCACAGGATGGGTGTCAGCATACCTGGAGTTTCAGAGCCTACCTTGAACATCTCATTCCCACATTAAAGATGCTGGGCACCAATAGTTCCTATCTGCATGGAAAAACACCAGCACAGCACCTCTGAAAACCAGGCTGTGTCTCCAGGGACCTAAGGTGGGTACAGGCACAGAGGAGCTAAGAACAGAAATAACTCCCCAGGGACCAACCAGCCACATCAAAACCTTCCCTAAGGGGTTTGTGTTTCCCAGCGACTCTTGGAAGAGTGTCTGCCAGCACACAGCTCCCCTTGAAGCCGTCAGCTCTTCCTGACTCCCCTTGGATACGCAAGAGCCATTTCAGCCTTGTCCTTGGACACCTCTTACACGCAGCAAATTAATACCGGCAATCAATCATTAATCAGAGCTCTCTTCCAGCTACCAGGGAAGGGAGCTGAAGCAGGCCAGGCTCTGCTCCCATTTATGTCAGACAAATGCAAGCCCGTGGAGCGGCTCCAGATCTACACGGTGCAACAGCCAGAGGAACAGGGCTGGGCACTCAATCACGCGGCACCCGGAGCCAAGCACAGCCGACAGCGGCCCGGCAGCTGGGCCAGGCTCCACCCGCTCCAGCAAGGCTATTAGCAAAGAGAAAAGGCAAGAAAAAGTACCCCAGTGGTTACTCGCCCTCCCGGCCTCGCTAAGAGAATGTAATCATTAGATACGGCTTTTCCCATTATAGCTCCTTAATGACTTGCCATTGTCCTCGGAACATGTGAGGAGGGGAGGATGGAGGACAGAATCTCTCTGCCTGACTGCTGAGGTGTCCTGGACTCACCAGACAAACCCCTCAGTCGTAATTAAAAGCTGCTATTGCCCATTTCTTACAAAGGCGGGTTGGCAATTAAATCTGCTCCGTCCAGAACTGCATTTTCCCCTCATATATGCACACATACATACAGAGATATAGGTAGGTTTTAAATGCAATTATTTGCAAAATAAGAAATGGCCTCATTCCGCAAGCATTTCAAAAGGACTCCCATCATTCCAGACTGTATAAATATTTTTAATACCCTCAGCATGGCCATCCAGCCCGTCCAGCTGCTGCAGGGCTATTTCTTCCATGCTCCAAGCCACCCATGCCCACCCTGAAATACAGGAGCTGTAATCCATGCACCCAACCGAGGCTCCTAACCCGCTTATTTTAATTGTCTGTGTCACCAGCTATAGATATGCACTGTGAAACTCATGATCTCGTGATTTCCAGCAGCTCTCTTCGGGGACCACAGACAACAGACCTGCCCATAAACTGCTCTGCCTGGGTTGAGGGGAGAGCATCGGCTTTTATAGGCTACGCTGCCTCCCAACTATTTGTAGCTCCTGTAAAAACCATGCAGCAAACGCCTGGAAATGGCCAAAAGAGCAATTTGAAAGCCAGTGGATATCCTAGAAGGATAAAAACTGCTGGGGAGTGCAGGAGGAATGACCAGCAAGGCTCTGATCCGGCTGCAGAGCAAACACCAGGCAGGTGATGCTCCCTAACCCTCACCTGATCCCACCTCCAGCGAGTCAAAAGGGTCTCTCCTGTTCTTCCATGGCACGGAGAGCTCCAGCAGCACCAACACAGCATGTAGCCCCCCTGCCTTAGGTCCCTGCAGACTCTTGGAAGCAGCCTGCCATGGCTGCCTTTAATAACTTTGCAATCAGGTTTAAATTGCCACTGCAAAAGGTTTATAAAAGTTTGTGTTGCCTGCTAATTAAATCCATACAAATGCCGGCTTGGCATTAATTTACTGTAAAATTAGTGTGAGGCTACAGTGGGTTATTTGCAAGAAACTTGTCCACGCTGAACTACCAGCGAGGAGCATCTGACCTTGGGAATTATCTCCCCAAAGCCTCCCTGCCACAGATCAGACACAGCTTTTCTTCCAGGCGCCACATGCAAATATTGTTGCTTTTCAATTATTGGCTGACTGATCCAGCGGCTGGGAGACAGCAGCTAATTAAAATCTAATTGAAATAAAATAATTTCCAATTCTGCTGCCTTTCATCGCCTCTTGGAGCAAAGGTTCCTTGTCTCACGGACTGGCTGTCCTCGGTCCCGTGTGTCCCTTAGCTCTGCAAACAGCCCATGTGCCATCCCGCTCTCTGCCGGGGTGTTTGTGGATGTGGGGCCAGGTTATGTCCCTGTGGGGTGAAGTAGGGTCACAGGAGCACAAGGGAAATGTTGAGAAGGGGAAATAAATAGGGAACAAAGTGAGGAGAAGGAAGAGGATGGGAAGGGGAGGTAAAGAGAAGGCAGGGGAGGGAGAAGACAAAGGCAGGGAAGAAGGGAGCAAGCCCCAGCCATACAGATGCCCAAGGCCAGGCTGGATGGTACCTGGAGCAAGCTGGTCTAGTGGAAGGTGTCCCTACTCATGGCAGGGACTTGGAACAAGATGAGC